ATCACCTCTCTCAATGTGAGTGCGTGTCCCGATCACCTCTCTCAATGTGAGTGCGTGTCCCGATCACCTCTCTCAATGTGAGTGCGTGTCCCGATCACCTCTCTCGGCGTGAGTGCGTGTCCCGATCCCCTCTCTCGGCGTGAGTGCGGGTCCCGATCCCCTTTCTCGGCGTGAGTGCGGGTCCCGATCCCCTCTCTCGGCGTGAGTGCGGGTCCCGATCCCCTTTCTCGGTGTGAGTGCGGGTCCCGATCCCCTCTCTCAGTGAGTGTGTCCTGCCAACCCCGCATTTGTTCAGGCTTATCGACCTTTGCTTACGTCCCTGACTTTGATCCACATTTAGTGTATTGGCTTCCTGTTTGCATGCATCTGGGTCACCTGTTCCTAAAGTGCACCGTGATCGCAATCCTGCACTAGGAAACTGCCTATGGATGGATGGATGGATGGATAATTAATGCATTTTTAAAAAAGGGAAAGGCAAAGTGTAGAGAACAGAAATAGCAGCCCTTTGTCTTAAGTAACTTCTCAACATATTAAAATGCCTGTTATATTTTTGTACCCATGTAAGATAAAACAGCTACACGTTACAGCAGCTGGTCTCCCTATTAAATATTCCTAAAAGAGTCACAATGACGAGCTACAAGTTGTACAACTACTCCTCTCACAGCTAATAAAGACAAAACCTGAAAAAGCCATTTACATTACTGTAAAAAAGACTTAAGGGCCTTGAAATCTTTAATTAAAAGCTTAATTATATATGCAGACATAGGTGAACCTGAATAACCCAAAATATAGGAAATCCTGTCATTTGGACCAAATTTAGACCATACAACAACTGTGATTGTTAAGGGAGGTCAAGTACCCAGAAGAGTGCAGTGCAGGTTAGTCAGGAAGTGATGTCAGAGCCACACGCATCCTCACACACGCTCCGGCGCCTCAGCCGTCGGCTCGGTACGCTCTCTCACAGCCACACGCATCCTCACACACGCTCCGGCTCCTCAGCCGTCGGCTCGGTACGCTCTCTCACAGNCACACGCTCCGGCTCCTCAGCCGTCGGCTCGGTACGCTCTCTCAGAGCCACACGCATCCTCACACACGCTCCGGCGCCTCGGACACCTGCTACGCCAGTAACATCGTTTTGGAAGAGGGATTACTCGAGTCTGTGATCCTGTCTACCGGAAAACCACATTGAGCGTGAAATGAACAGATTACAGAGGGCTAATCGTGCCCCTGCTAGTGTGGCAGTAACCTCTGCCCAGTCAATGTGTCTTATATATATAAATTAAGAGACTTTTTAAGCTTTATGTAAAAAAAGTGTACAAACTAATGATTCCCGCAGAGAGACATTCTGGCCTCAGGTCGCCCAGCTGGCAGCCCTTCACCATATGACTGCCCATGGCCACGCCTGCATGACCTGATTCCAGCCCCCCCACTGCCGCCACAGACCAAGCCTGCATTGCCCCCTCCTCCCATCTATGCCCGTCCCACGTGCCAGGGGTTGCGGGGATACCAGCAACACTGGGCCCTGCTTCTACTCGACTTCTGTCAAGCGGAAACAGCTCAGGAAGCTGCTACGTGCGGTCTATATCACGCTCTCCTTCTCTTAAACGAGCTGACGTGCAACGAACAATTTCCTCCATCTTTTGAAAAAGTCTCAGTTCGAAGAAAAAAAAAGTAGCACATGGTGACGGCCTGGGAGACAGGATCTCACACGTATCATAAGTATTAGACGGAGGCAGTTTAAACGAAATCGCGGGATTCGGCTTTGTTTGAAGTAATAGGGTCCTAGATACAATTTTACATGGTCCACAATATTGAGTAATTACAGCAAGTTAAAACATCGAGGTTAACAGCTGCCAGAAGGGAGCGCATGCTATCATTGGGTCTAATTAGTAATTAAAACGACCTGGCCGTAATGTAAGCGTGACGGTGTTAAAAACAATTTAATGATAGGTGCCCTTAGTGGGGGGAGCTCACCTTGGAGGCTGTGCAGGAACACTTTGAGGCCATTGCGGAGCTGCTGGTCACCCACCCGTTCCAGCTGTTTGAACAGTTTGTTGATGGTGTTTCTCACCGTGTCGTGCCTCTTTATCTCCGCACGGATGGCGCTCGACTGCGCCAGTTTAAGGTTGTTGTTCATCTTGATGTCTGTTGTGGAGCCCTCTCAAAACACGAATTACACCTACCATCCATCCCTGGCAAAAAAAACAAAATAAAACACACTATATCTGCAAAAAAAAAACGAAAATCGGCGAACGCACCGCGCGAATTCAAACCCGTGCAGCAGGACTGAAGACGAAAGACATCGTAACTTTCATAAGTTTGTCTCTTGAAGCCACTTCCTGATGTGAGCGCTGACAAATGTCTGCTGGGCTGTTTCTGCTCAGATCTGACACCTGATGCTCAGTCCCACAATCCTGCTAAAATGTCACCAATCATTTTAGCCGCATATTCTACCCCGGCTGTTATTTTATGCATAACAAAATACACCGGATGACATTTTATGTGAAACTAATGTAACGAGATCTTTTAATTTCAGTTTGAGCTGAGGATGTTACGTTTTCCGTCGCTGTGCTATTGCATTAATCTAGTGGCACAAATATCAGCCCATATATTTATCGTAGTTTTGTGAGACTGGTACGCAAACAGATTTTTAATTATCGGTACAGGATATTTTACTAAAATGTATGGATAAAAAAGAAACGGTCTTTTAAACATTTTTTTTCGAGTATCATTTAGGCTAATTCAAAATGCAAAGAATGCATATAAAATATTTTCTTAAATGCAGACATTTGTCATATGCCTACTTTAATACTTATATTTAATTATTTCAAAGACAATAATAAGCAACAAATGAGTAGGCCTACATAACCAGTATGTGTGGTAACTCCTGTGCAGCCCTGCTTTATTTATTTCATTATTATTATTTCACATTACTGAAAAACGGCGAAGAGATCGAAGGCCCTATTATCCCTCCATTTTCCTACCGGTCAGTGTCGCGGGGGGCCTGGAGCCTCTCCCAGGCAACACAAGGCTGGGTTACACCCGAGACAGGATGCCAGTCTATCACCGGGTATATGCACACATAGTCTTACACTTTGATCAGTCTGAGTTGCCAGTAAACGACGTTGAGCGTCTTTGGAGCCCGGGAGGAAACTCGCGCGGCACTGCGCGCATGCGCACTGTACAGGCACGGAGGAAACGTGAGACTCGATCCCGCAACCTTGGAGGCATGAGGTCATCGTGTCGCGCTCTGGAACTGTAACAACAGTAGGCTATAAAAACACCGTGTATATAAACATTTAACGGATATCTAACGAGAGTTAAAGGGCGCTGCTAGAGATTTTGGATCCCATAGAGCACATCATATAATTGGGTCCCCAATTCAGACCAATACAATTAAGTTTGTAAGAGCCTCGCTCACTCAGCGGCGCTTGCAACCGTCCCAACTCCCCCCTTACACTTTACTCCATTCAGGTCGAATGATTTGAAAGCAGTGGAATAATCATAAATACTGTTCTTACATAACACCACAGGGAAAGCTGCAATGTAGGACACGGGACGTCTCAGACGTATTGGCCAACCACAGTCCGTGCTCTGTCTCCCCCTTCTGGACGCTCCGTAATACGGAAGAGGATGAGGGCCACCATGAAAATATTATTTGAATTCTGACTTTAATGTCAGAATTCTGGCTTTTTTTTCTCAGAATTCGGACTTCAATGTCAGAATTCTGACTTTAATCTCAGAATTCTGACTTTTTTTTTCTAAACTCTGTGCGTATGTGATACACTGATACTGACAGTGATACTGTGTGTATGCGATAGTGGTACAGACACTAATACTGACACTGATACTGATACTGACAGTGATACTGTGCGTATGTGATACAGACACTGATACTGACACTGTGCGTATGTGATACAGATACAGACACTGATACTGACAGTGATACGGTGTGTATGTGATACTGATACTGACGGTGATACTGTGTGTATGCGATAGTGGTACAGACACTAATACTGACACTGATACTGATACTGACAGTGATACTGTGCGTATGTGATACAGACACTGATACTGACACTGTGCGTATGTGATACAGATACAGACACTGATACTGACAGTGATACTGTGTGTATGCGATAGTGGTACAGACACTAATACTGACACTGATACTGATACTGACAGTGATACTGTGCGTATGTGATACAGACACTGATACTGACACTGTGCGTATGTGATACAGACACTGATACTGACACTGATACTGTGCGTATGTGATACAGATACAGACACTGATACTGACAGTGATACTGTGTGTATGTGATACTGATACTGACGGTGATACTGTGTGTATGTGATACAGACACTGATACTGACACTGTGTGTATGTGATACAAACGAAGGGCTTGTTTTCCACACATGACGGTCATCCTATATCATATCATATCATATCATTATAATTTAGGGGCGTTTGCAAGACGGATGGCAAAGTGTGTGGACGGCATCTTAATGTACTGGATGCTATGATGATTTTATAGGATTTCTTCCGGAGCAGCGGGCGCTTTGCTTTGCTCCAGACGGCTTTAAATAAGCCTTAAAGACGCGAAATCGCGATATGCCCTTTAGCGCAGGTCGGAAGGCGGGACCCGGGCATGACGGACCGTATCTCAGCCACACGGATCGGCCGTCGTCACGGTGCGGGGTGACGGAAGCGGGGAGACCGCCGCCGCTGGGAGGAAATACATTTTCACATTTAAGGAGTCGGCGCTCCCTCGGTACGCCCCTCTACGGGTGATCATCATTCTAAAAAGCGCTGAAGTGGTCCGAGTAGCCCGGCTTTGGCACCATGGTCTGCGGCGGCTTCACCTGCTCCAGAAACGCGCTCTGCTCTCTCAACGTGGTTTATATAGTGAGTCCATGCTGCCGCGACACGTGCCGACGCCTGTGCAAGACCGCCCGGTAAACGGTACCAATGCCCGGTGCCGAAGTTCTTTGCTACCTTAAACGCGCGGTTTATATTATTATTATTATTATTATTATTAATGTCGCTTGATTTGTTGTATTGATTTACAGTTTGCAAATATTACATTAACACGGCTGGTGCCATAACAGGCAGCTATAGCGATGTACTCGGACTTTTAATTCTTAGAAATCTTTGTATAAACGTTGGCAAAAAAACAAGTGGTACGTAATAGGGTTAGTGCAGCGCATTGTTTAGTCAGCTGCCCCGAGTCCGCATTTAGCGAACAAACACAGGCTGCATGGTTCTCGCTTAATAGAGAGAGTTGGGTTGTGCGTCATGTCGCCTCCTAGACAGTGCATCCCAGTTCACGGGCCGCGTTTACACAGTAAGGTCGTGTTCTGGCCCATTTGCGCCCAGCTGCGTGATTCTGATTATAAACCTTGAGCACACGGGCTGCCCTGGGGGCATCTGTCTGGCTCCTCAGTGTGTGCTGTTAACTCTGTCTGTCCGCCTCCTGCAGAAGGTGGGCCTTGTGCTTATCAGCGTGGCCGCCTGGGGAAAGGGCTTTGGCATCGTGTCCAGCATCCACATCATCGGCGGCGTGATCGCCGTGGGCGTCTTCCTGCTCCTCATCGCCATCGTCGGCCTCGTTGGAGCGCTCAAACACCACCAAGTTCTGCTGTTCTTTGTATCCTTTTGGATTTGGGGCAGTTTATAGTGTGTAAATGCACAACAAACCATATGACCGAGGAGAGGCAGGCCGTGGTGGAGGAGTAGAGTTAAAACAGCCCTTGAGGTCAAAGGTCAGATGACTAGCACCTCCCCCTAATGTTTAGCTGTTCCAGTTCTGGTTAAGTCACTCGCGCTCAGTCTGACGGCAGCGCCGGTTTGCTCCTCTTTGCTGGTTGTCCACGGCGTCTCCTGTCACACCTTTCCCTCCCTTCCTCTTGGTCTCCTTGACTTCCTCCTTCCTCCAGTACATGATCATCCTCTTTTTCGTGTTCCTCTTCCAGCTGGGTGTGTCCTGCTCCTGTTTGGCTATGAACCGTGAGCAGCAGGTGAGTGACCCTCCCCCACTTCCCCCCCCCCCCCCCCCCCCCCCCCCCCCCCCCCTTCCACCCGCCATTTCCAGCTGACCCCTTCCTGTCTGCCTCGCGCTTCCTCCTCAACAGGAGAAGCTGCTCAACTCCTCCTGGGAAATGATGAGCAGCATGACCCGGGAGGACCTGGAACACCAGCTGGACTGCTGTGGCCTTCTGAACACCTCGCTCAGCCAGCCTGAGTTTGACAGTGACTACCAGCACTGCACTGCAGTGAGAGTCGCCGTCATTTCGACGCTCTGCTCCAGTGCCCTTTCCGTTTGTCACTAGAGCCGCACTCAATAAGTCACTTTGGGGGGCATACAGCTAGCAGTTAGCTTTAACGAAGTCATAGCTAGCTAGTTGGTTATTTGTATAAATTTGGTATCCTAACGTTAAATAAACGTGTTGGACTTCAAAGTGCAAAAACTGCCGCCACTCCTCCGTCTTTTTTTACCTTGTTTATCCACGATGTCAGCTGATCTGTCCCTTTCTTCACCGCGACTTCAGTACTCATCGCTTCCATGATTTACCGAAACGGTGCCGTACAGTGTGCTGCGTGCGATAAGGATATCCCGAATTCGTACTGATTACTAAATTGTAGGCGTCATAAAATGGCTCATTAATGTTTTAGGCATACTACTGATCTGCTTAAATCGTGGGTGTAAGTGAACGTCCATATAGTACCAAAAAGCTGGCATCCGGACAAATTTTTACGGCTGTCATCTAAAGCCCTGCTGACTAACGCACATGGGCGAACGTCATAATGTGATCTGGTGCAGCCCTATTATAGGCTGTTCTGAAATCCGACATCCCCCCCCCATGTTTGCCAGCCCTGCAAACTCAGGAGCCGCTGCCATCCGTGTGGGGACCTGATGCTCCAGCATGCCACGGAGGCCCTGAAGATCCTGGGTGGCATCGGCCTCTTCTTCAGCTTCACGGAGGTGAGCTCTGCCCTGTTCGTGCCGCCCTGGGCCCGCCAGCTGAGCGTGAGCCCTCCTCGTGAAACGTCACTGGGGGAGATCACCAAATAGCTTTACCGTCGTACTGTGGCAGACGCTACTTAATGCTTAAGTATCGGTTCCTGAGTGTCCTCTGCTTCCTGAGATCAGACAGTGCATCTGAAAGCCCTGATCTCATTCTCATTCATTCCTGAATCTGTGGTTCCCCAAACCTCTTATTGGTGACGCGTTGGCCTCTCTCTGTCTCCCCCTCCTGGTGGTGATACATGACTTCTTTTCCCTTCCAGATCTTGGGGGTGTGGTTGGCAGCTCGCTACAGGAATCAGAAGGACCCCACAGCAAACCCAAGTGCTTTTCTGTAGGCCCCCAGCCATTCATGTGCTTTCAGATCAGAGAACACGCGCAGCCCCAAACCCAGCAATGCCGTTACCTTTCTCACCTCCCGTCCTTTGAAAACCACTGACTGCACTAATGGGGCATCTGCCCATCCTGCTCTCATGCTCGATGAGCAGGACCAGAGAAGCTCGCCCTAGCCAGGCTATTATGACCACCTACTAGGGCATCCTCCATGTGCGTGACTCTCTGTGACTCGCTCTCTGTGACTCGCTCTGTCTTGTAAAGCCCCATGCTCTTTGTCTGTCATTTTCTGGTAGAGCTTGCGGGAGATGTGGGGGCCCTGATTAATGTGGCCTTCATGCACGTCAGTATGGTGGCTACCAAAACCTGCCAGTCTGATTTGGCTGCATTGGTCAGGTGACCCTGATTCTAGAGCAGCAGATTAACAGCATATCAATTGACTCTAGATAGTCAGCCTGGTAAACCAGCAGCTCTGCCTTTTTTTATTATTCTTTGTTTATTTTTTTTAAATTAATTTGACCTTTGCACATGTCTGCCACTGGAGGGCGCTGTGGCGTTATCCCATCGCTGCTGATCATGCACTGAATTTTCCAGCAGGAACAAGAACTCTTTTACTCTTTTTTCTGTGACCTCTTGATTCCTCCCAGTTCACAAATATCTTCAATGTTTGGCTTAGTTACAGTTGAGTTTGGTGTATTTGTGTTTAAGCTGTTTAACCGATGCCCTAGTTATGCACAGTAGCCTGCGCCTTGGCGATCGCCCCTGCTCCTCCACACCGCCTGCAGGAGCAAGCACTAAAGGTTCTCCTCCAGGCCTCCTCTGGTCCTCCTCCAGGCCTCCTCTGGTCCTCCTCCAGGCCTCCTCTGGTCCTCCTCCAGGCCTCCTCTGGTCCTCCTCCAGGCCTCCTCTGT